AGGAAAATGGGAGAGAACTCAAACCCCTTGGACTTGGGATAATTTCACAAGGGAATTTAATGAAAAGTTTCTTCCGCCCTTAATCCAAGAAAAGAGGGAGGATGAATTTATCAAGCTGAAACAGGGAACCCTTAGTGTAGCGGAGTATGAAGGAAAATTTACTAAACTTTCAAAGTATGCTCCCGAACTGGTGACAAATGAGCGAAAAAGGATTAGACGGTTTGTTCAAGGACTTAATGTGGAGATACAAGAGGGCCTGGCGCAGCCCAAATCTCTACATTTACTGAGGCTTTAGAGAAGGCACAAAGGGTTGAAAGTGCAAGGTCTCAAGTGAGAGACTTCCATAGCAGAAAGAGAAACTTTTCTAGCCATGCTTCTGGACAAGCTAGTAAAAATGTACAGCCTTCCAAAATGGGAAAAAATGGGAGGACCAAGGACTGCTGGACCTTCAAGAGGAGCTTTATCTAGAGGAGGTCGTAGTGGACCGACACAGGCAAGAAGGGCGCCTTCTAGCGGTTCAGCGGTGACCCCTCAAGTTTCGTGTGGTTATTGCGGAAAACCAAACCATTCTGAAAGTGACTGTTGGAGGAAGTCTGGGAAGTGCCTGGCTTGTGGTAGTACCGAGCATCAGCTTGCGAACTGTCCAAATAAAATGAAGACGGGAGGTGATACCCAAAGCCAGAAAAGTCAGCTTCTAAGCAAACTAGTGCCGGAGGGAGTCGACCGAAAGTACCGGCTAGGGTTTATGCACTGGACTATCAACAAGTTCCTGAGGCAACTGAGGTGGTAGAAGGTACGATTCCGATCTTTCACCGTTTAGCTAGGGTTTTAATTGATCCAGGTGCTACACATTCTTTCGTAAACCCTAATTTCATGAGTGGGATAACTTGAAACCAATTAAGTTACCATATGATCTAGAGGTTAAAACGCCTACTGGGGATCAAAGTTTAATTGCTAATTTGGTGTATCAAGGTTGTGAAGTCTGGATTGGGGAACGAAAATTATCGCTGATTTGATGGGATTGATGATTAAGGGATACGATGTAATTTTAGGAATGGATTGGTTAGCCCGTTATAATGCTCAGTTAAACTGTAGGACGAAGGTTGTGGAGTTGCGTATTCCAGGAGAAGCAACCCTGAAACTGATGTAAAAGGGAAATTAGCCTCGTCTGCACTTATTTCAGGAATTCGGGCTAGAAAGTTGTTAAGTAAAGGAGCTCAAGGATATTTGGCTTTTCTTACTAACACCCCTAGTGATAAGGTGAAATTGGAGGACATGCCTGTAGTGAAGGACTTTCCTGATGTTTTTCCTGAAGAATTGGAGTCCCTACCCCCGGAACGGGAAATAGCCTTTAAGATTGATGTAACTCCGGGAGTAACCCCTATTTCTAGGACGCCATATCGAATGGCCCAGCCGAATTGAAGGAGTTGAAATTGCAATTACAAGATTTGCTAGAAAGGGTTTTATTAAAGAGAGTGATTCTCCGTGGGGAGCCCCAGTTTTGTTTGTTAAGAAAAAGGACGGGAGTTTGAGGCTATGTATAGACTATAGAGGTTTAAATAATGTTACAACTAAGAATAAATACCCACTGCCCCACATTGATGAGTTGTTTGACCAGTTACAAGGGGCTGTAGTATTTTCTAAGTTGGATTTGAGACAGGGTTATTATCAGTTGAGGATTTTGGAGAAGGATATACCCAAGACTGCTTTTAACTCGAGATATGGGCATTTTGAATTTGCCGTGATGCCATTTGGGTTAACGAATGCTCCTGCTGCTTTTATGGATCTAATGCATAGGGTCTTTAAACCTTATCTAGACCAATTTGTGGTGGTCTTTATTGATGACATATTGGTGTATTCTAAGAATGTGCAAGACCATGAGAAACACTTGAGAGTTGTTTTACAGACCTTAAGGGAGCACCAATTGTATGCTAAGTTTAGCAAGTGTGAATTTTGGTTAAAAGAAGTGACTTTCTTGGGACACATAATTTCTAAGGATGGGATTAAAGTGGATCCAGCTAAAGTTGAAGCTGTTTCGAAATGGAAACGACCGGAAAACCCTACCGAGGTTCGGAGTTTTATTGGATTAGCAGGGTATTACCGGAGATTCATTCAGGATTTTTCGAAAATTGCTGGACCCATGACTGAATTGACCAAGAAAAATGGGAAGTTTATATGGAGTCCTAAGTGTGAGGAAAGTTTTCAGGAATTGAAAAGACGGTTAACAAGGGCACCTGTGTTGGCTTTGCCAAACGGAAAAGATAGTTTTGTGGTTTACACAGACGCTTCTAAGGAAGGACTGGGATGTTTTAATGCAAGATGGCAAAGTAATAGCATATGCTCTAGGAAATTGAAACCCATGAAGGGAATTACCCGACTCATGATTTGGAGTTAGCGGCTGTGGTCTTTGCTTTGAAGAAATGGAGACATTATTTGTATGGTAACCTTTGAGGTTTTTACAGACCACAAAAGCCTTAAGTACTTGTTTTCTCAAAAGGAGCTGAATTTGAGGCAACGTAGATGGATGGAATTTTTGGAAGACTATGATTGCACTATCAAGTACCATCCAGGGAAAGCTAATGTAGTGGCCGATGCCTTGAGTCGTCAAGTACAAATGGCTGGATTGATGATTAAGGAGTTTCAATTATTGGAAGAAGTGAGTTACTGGAATCCTCGATTGGAACCAAGGAAGGTAATTTTGGGGAATATTATAGTAACTTCCACTCTATTGGAACGCATCAAGGAATTTCAAGAAAAGGACACGGAAGTGCAAAAATGGGTGGAAAAGAGTAAAATGGGAGACAAGACAGATTTTAATTTGGGGTCAGATGGAATATTGAGGTTTCGGAATCGAGTAGTTGTGCCAAAGGATGAAGGGCTTAGAAAGGAAATCTTAGAAGAGGCACACCGATCAAAGTTTACGGTACATCCAGGAGGGAATAAAATGTACCAGGACTTGAAGAGTCTGTATTGGTGGGAGAACATGAAGAAGGAAATTGCCCAATTTGTCCAAACATGTTTAATTTGTCAACAGGTTAAAGCCGAACATCAGAAACCATCAGGACTTTTGCAACCTTTAGAAATACCTGAGTGGAAATGGGAGAATATCACTATGGATTTTGTATCGGATTACCCAGAACGCAGAGAGGCCATGATGCAATTTGGGTAATAGTGGATAGATTGACCAAATCGGCTCATTTTCTGCCGATTAACATGAAGTACCCGTTAGAGAAGTTGGCCAAATTGTATTTGGATGAGATTATTAGGTTGCATGGCATACCTGTGAGTATTGTGTCCGACAGGGATCCGAGATTTGTTTCGAGATTCTGGCAAAAGATGCAGGAGGTATTGGGGACTAAGTTGAACTTTAGTACCACTTATCATCCTCAGACTGATGGACAGTCGGAAAGGACAATTCAAACACTTGAGGACATGTTAAGGACATGTATTCTGGACTTTGGAGAAAATTGGAGTAAGTTTTTAACTTTAGTGGAATTTGCCTACAACAATAGTTTCCACTCTTCTATTCAGATGGCACCGTATGAGGCACTCTATGGTCGGAAATGTAGGTCTCCAATTTGTTGGGACGAAATAGGTGAACGAAAATCCTAGATCCGACCACAGTATCTTGGATTGAGGAAGCTAATGAAAAGGTAAAGTTGGTACGACAAAGAATTCAGGTTGCCCAGAGCCGCCAAAAGAGTTATGCTGATAATCGGAGGAAAGAATTGGAGTTTAATGTTGGAGATTTGGTATTTCTCAAGATTACACCTCTGAAAGCAAGGTTGAAGTCCGGAAAAGGAAAGAAATTACAACCAAGATTTGTAGGGCCTTATAAGGTCATCCAACGTGTGGGGAGTGTAGCCTATAAGTTGGAATTACCGCCGAGTTTATCTCGAATCCATAATGTGTTTCATGTATCTATGCTTAAGAAATATCATCCGGACCCTTCTCATGTCTTACAACCGGAAAATGTTGAGATTGATGAGACCTTAACCTATGAGGAGAAACCGGTTAAACTTCTGGATAGAAAGGTAAAGGAATTGAGAAATAAACAGATACCATTAGTGAAGGTCCTCTGGAAGAACCATGGGTTGGAGGAAGCAACTTGGGAGGTCGAAGAAGCAATTCGAGAAAAGTATCCAGACCTGTTCGTCAATCAAGGTAAATTTCGAGGACGAAATTTCTTAAGGGGGAGAGGATGTGAGGATTCGAAAATTCTATTATTTTTTAAATCCCTAATTTTGGCTAAAATAATTATTTATTTGGATTATTGCCACGAATAATATTTTCTAGCCTTATTAGACCAAAGTACATGATTTTATAGTTTCGTCATATTTCTAAAATGTCTCATTTCGAAAAAAAATAAAATAAAAATATAGATAAATAAACAAATATTTTCATAAAGCTTAATTAGTGAAAAAATGAAAACGTATCTCAAAACTTTAGCCAATTGGGAGTACAATAAGCTCAAAATTTGAGACCTAACAATGGTCCTAAAATAGACAATTTTAGGTTTAATTACACAAGTGATAGCTAGTGGTACAATCGTTATAGAATTTCTCAAAGGTTTCAATTTTTATTGCGCCTAAATTAGAAATACGTGTTTCACGTGCGCGCTTAATTGGGGGACTTTGGACCATTATTTTGGGACAATTAAGAATGAAAATATTTATATAAATGTAAGTGTCTTAGAGGTTTAGTGCACTAGTGCAACAAACGTAAGAGAAATCGAACACAAAACGCGCGCGTAGGGTACTAGTTATAATTGATTTGACGTATTAAAAGATTTGACGTCAAGCGTCTTTCGTACGCAAAGGCTTCAGAACCCGCATTTCATTTCATTTCTTCTGCTGCAACGGACGGCTAGCAGCTGCAAGGACAACCGAAGCTTCACCATTTCTTTCTTCCAAAACTCATCCAAATCCTTACCAAAACTTCCATAGATTCTCACCAAACTTCACATTCATTTAGCTTTTCACTTGGACAACAATTAGCTGAAAAGGAAGGAGCTATCCACGGTTTCTTCAAGCTTCAAAGGGCCGAAAAATCTGTCCAAACCAGCCATCAAAGTAGGTAGTAATCAAGCACCTTAAACTTGTCTTATGGAAGTTGATCTATGCATTTGAGTTGGAATCTTCACTTTAGTAGCTTGTATTGTTGGAAATGTGGGCTCTATGAACTCCCACTTTGGGTTGATGGCTGTGATGATGTTTGATGATGGTTTTATTGCTGAATTAGAGCTTAAGGAAGTAGATTAAAGGTGTATTGTGGCCAGAAACGTTGTTGAACTCTTGAAGCAAAAAGTTCCCATTTTACCCCTGTTCTGTTCGGTCACTTTAATGCAGAAATTTGAGGATTTAATGGCTTGATTGTGTTGTTTATATGTTGTAGTAGTTGTGTAAAAATTTCATTGAAAAATACTGAGTTTTGGTGGGTCAAACGAATTTATTTCAAAAACTAGTAATCTGGAAAACGGTTTCGCCGTAATCCAGACCAGTGTTTGTATTTCGTCCATAACTCCGTACTCCGACGTCGAAATCAAGTGCCGTTAGCGGCATTTGAAACTAGACGTTTCCATGTTTCCAACGGTGTATAACACATTCTGGTTTTAGGTGTGTGAGCCACACCATTCATCTGAAGTCGGCTGTCCTGTTTCTCCGTTCTGCCGAAATGATTTGATGATACTGCAACTTGAGGCTTGATTTTGAACCAGTTGCATGCTGAAACTTAAACGATTTCTTCTGTGAAGTTGTAGCCCTATGAATGTATTTTCTAACACTATCAACCATTTCCAATTCCGAGTTAAATTGAGGGAGTTATGATCAATACACGGCAACTGCCTCGTTTTTGAAAACCTTAGCTTTGGACAGATTGCCTTAAGGATTTTCCAAACTTTGGTTGATTGATTAACCACCTTTCCGAGGGTATTTTTCCATGAGATTTGATAGAGAGTTACCCTTCATATAGGAGTAGTATACTGCAAAATTTGGTGTCAATCCAAGTCCGTTTCGACACTTAACAAAAGGTCCAAAGTCGGAACCAAATCTGGAAATTTTGTAACAGTCTTGAATTTTTCCCAACTTTGAGCTACCATATCTTGGTGCTCGAAACTCCGATTCTCGATCCGTTTGTTCTGCCCTAAACCTTACTTGCACCTCTAATTGAGCTATAATTTCAAGGGCTGGTTTGCAACGAGTGAATTCTGCCGAATTTTCAAAGTTAGCGAAAAACCAACCCCGGCTCAATCCTGGGTGATTTGGAACAGCAACTTTAGGCTCATTTTTGCACTTTCCACTTCGATTCATGAAAAGTGTCTTCTAGGAACTTGCAGTACTTTCTAAGAGGTTTTCAACGGTATAAAGTTTTCCAATTCTCGACTTATGCCGAGTGAGTTACGATTTTTCAAAGATTCATAACAAAACTGAAATTTTCCAACTTTCAAGGAAATAGAGTTTTTCAAGAACTCTTTATTCTTTTGATATTATCTAAACGTTTTATCCCCGATTTCCTAGATAAAGACTTAAATATTGTTGAATGTTATCAAACCTCTCTCGAACCTCGATTTACGAGTAATTGAGGTTCATTTTCACGGAATTCCCTAGAGTAATACTAGTGAACGAATTATTCCTCGTTATTTGGGATATGGATGATAATTCACTATTTTGCTCAGGCACGCACGAGGACCTCCAAGAGGACCCTACTGTGGAAATTTGAACTCTTCCTCCAATTTACTTGCTTGCATAACTTGGTGAGTGTCATGTGTATGCCTACTTGAACTCTAAAGATTTGATTCTTGTTTGACTTACCTGATTACATGCTTAGTCTATTGGATTTTGAAAAATGGAGTCGAGTGTGTACTTAATCGCACTCGTTCTCATTTGGAACAAATGACTCATGTTTGACATGCTTTGCATGGTTTATATGACTTGAAATACATATTAAAACTGTCAAATGCTTGAATATATGAATGGTATGCTACGATTGCATACGTCGATGGAGTGAATCTCCTCGACATTTACATGATACATGGGGGACGCCCAAACTCATAGGCCGACTTGGAAACCCGAGTCGGCATGGGCTTGGTCGGGAATCTCGTGAACCATGAGATTCACATGATAAGCTTGATCTATTGAGAGATCTCGCTTGGCATACTCGTAAAGTATCGCCTTATAAATGTCGTGCGGCCCGAAGTGGTGTATGGTGGACGGATGAGAAGTAAGTGGTGAACTACGGATATGAAAATATCAACCCGGGTGACGGAGAGCCATCACGGGGAGATATACAAATGACATCGGCAAATGTGGAACTTAGCTCCTGAGAGCTTCTATATCCTTGAATTGTTTCTGGTTACATTTTTGTTGGCGTTATTAATTACTTGCAAGCTATTACCGAATTGTTAATTGGGCTTGTTATCTGAACTAGGTGTCTGCATGTGTGTTCTTGGCCTCACGAGCGTTTTGCTCACCCTGTAGATTTGTTTTTCTTAACAGGTTTGAATTCGGAGGTAAAATGGAGCAGCCCTCTTGATGTATTTTTGTTTTAGGGCTTGCTATTACTTTTGGTTATGCCTTTGGTTTTGGATTGTACTTTTGGTATGGAAATGTAACCTTTGGACAAAATGTATTATGTATACTGACGTGTGGTTTGGAGACTGGATGACTGTTATTAAGTTTGAACACTTCCGCATTTATTGTATCTAAGTTATCGATTTGTATTGTGTGGTCTGGATATAAGTTGGATGGAATTGTTTGAATCCTGGCGAGAGTTAGGCAGGCGTCCCGCGGATACCCTTTGGTTCGCCTTAGGGAGAAGTGGGGGCGTCACAATAGTTCATTATTAATTGCTCAGACACACAAGAAAACCTTCAAGAGGATCCTACGGTGGATGCTTAAACCCTCAAGAGGGCATTACTTCTTTGTTTGCTTGATGAGTGTCAAGTGTATGAGTACTTGATACATGCTTAACTATTATAAATGATTGAAAATTTTGAAAATAGAGTCGAATGTGTACTTTACCGTATTCGTTTTTATTTGAAATGAATGGAATGAAATGTATTGAATGAAATGAATGATTGAATGATATTGAATGATTGAATGAAATGAAATGGTGTGCTATGGCTGCATATGTCGCTAGAGTGAATCTCCTCGACTCACAAATGAACATGGGAGACGCCCAACTCTCACTGGCCAACCTTGGACTCGAGCTGGCATGAGCTTGGTCGGACTCCTTGGTGAACCATGAGAAAAAGGTAAGTTTGACCTAGTGAGAGGTCTTGCTTGGCATACTCAAGTAGTATCGCCTCAAACAAATGACCGGCAGGCCCGGTACAGGGGTATGTATTGATGAACGGGGACATGATAAATGTGGTTCTATGGACTATAACCTACCCGATTGATGGAGTGTCAACTCGTGGAGGTTCTTGATCGTGCAAGTGGAAAATAGCTCCTGAGAGCTCCTATATCCTTGAATTGTTTCTGTTTACTCTTCTTGCTCTAATTATCATTTACTTGAATATTATTGTTTTACTCGTTAATTGGGATTGTTACTTGGACAGTATGCTTGCATGTGTATTCTTGACCTCACAAGCAATCACTCACCTTGTTGATTTGTTTTTCTTAACAGGAATGGATGGAGTGAAACTTGGTGGAATCCGTTAGATGTACTTTTGTATTAGGGTTTCAAATGTAAGTGACTAGACCTTTTGACTGTTGTATATTTTGGGAATTGATGTATCTTTTGGGATCCTGACGTAAGAATTAGGGACTTGATGTATTTTGGAACTCGTGGTGTAAGTTTGAATGTTAATTATGGAAGCGACTTCTCTTTCTTACTTTATCTTGTTGTGATGGCTAGTATTGTATTAAATTTGAACGGAAATTGTGCCAAATCCTGGCAAGAGCTCGGCAGGCGTCCCGCGGATAACCTTTGGTTTGCCTTGGAGAGAAGTGGGGGCGTCATAGTTGGTATCAGAGCTTAGGCTTTAGATCTTGGTAGTGTATCTTAGGCTTAAAAGTTTAGGATGCTGGACTGCGGAACTAGTTAGAAAGTTAAGTGACTGCTTGTGAGAATGAAAATTAGAACCTAGATTTGAATTAATGGACAATTGGGTGTCTTGATCTTGTAAGAGACATGTGGGATAGTATGAGATGATCAAATCCAATTTATTAGTATATTTGGTCCGATTTAAGCTTTTAATTTTAATTGTAAATTACAGAAGGTAACAGTGGCCTTGAACCGTCTCGGGGACGCATTACGGTAACCATGGCCGTGAAGGGCCTAGGGAGGCTCGTTGGAGGTATAACCCAACTCGCCGAACTAGGACTTTATGTGATTTCGAAAGGACTTGCTCGTACTCAAATAATGGGGTGTTGATAGTGGCCGATCATCGGAAGTGCCTATCCGAGGAAACTAGAGTAGTTCAAGAGGATAATCGAGGACCGAGGGCAATTGTCGATGCCCAGACTATTAGAATTTTTGAAGTGGCGACTGAGATACTTAATGAGCGAGAAAGAGACAAAGGTTCCTAGTGAGCAGCTTCAAAAAGCTGAGAACCGACTTGCAAGGGTAGTGTGAGGCCCAGTTCGTTCTACGTTGAGATATTCATTATTTGGGCGGTAACGTTTGTTTGGAGTATTTCGAAAACCCTAAGTAGGGATTAAGATTTAAACCCTAAGTTCCGGTTAAGATTGAAAACCCGTTTTTCTACATTTTCTTTATTAGAAAATTCCCCAGATAATTTTTATTGAGTAAATAGAGTTTTTAGATGATTTTCTAGTATTAGTTAGTTTTTGAGAAATTAAGAACGTATATCGGATGTGGGACCCACTAGTGCGAAAAGTTCGGAAAAATTCGGCCAATAAGGTTAAGTTTCGGATACTGTGTAAAATTTATCGGGTGTTAAGAGATAAGTAGAGTGTGTGAAATGATTGATGTGAGAGAGAAAAGAAAGGATAGGATTGCATTTATGAGAGTGACAAGTGTCACTTCCTTATTGGATTGAACTTAAGAAACACTATTCACATTTTTGACTTTTTTGACCAAAGGATTAAATATCTCAAAAATCATTCAAAATTCACCATTTTTCTTTCTCCATAGCCGGCTCTCTCTCTCCCTTGCAAGAAGGAGAAAAAAACCTCTTCAATCTTCAAGCTTTCCACTAGCAAATCATCTCAATCAAGCACATAAATTAGTTTCCTTTCCATACAACTTTTCTAGTTGGTGATAGTGGTTGGTTTAGTGAAGCTTTTTGGAAGAGCTAAGGTGTCCATCATCTCCATCTCTCTTGTTATTAGGTGAGTGATGCTTAAACTTCCCTCCTATACTTAATGATGGTTATTTTGTGCCTAATGGTGGCTTGAGTAATGGAATATGTGATTTATTTTTGATTTGAAGAGTTTTGGTGAAGTTTTCCATTTTATGATGATTTTTCTGGTTTAATTGGATTATGATGGTGTGGTTGTTTATGATGATTGGTAATGGTCTATATAGACTCTAGTAGGTGCAAATTAGTGATAAATGCAATCAATTTTGGATTTGGATGGAAAAATGGAAAGTTAGGGTTCATAATCCCCTAATTCTGTCCGGTTTTATATCATAGGGTTAGAGGCCGAATTGGACTTTGCTCAAAACATGAAAGTTGTAGGTATTGATGAGTTTGAAGTGCCTGAAAATTTTCAGGTCATTTGGATTAGTGTAGAGTGAGTTATGTCGGAATTACTGTAGCTGTTCTGCTTTGGTCAGAATGCGAAAACTGCGTTGGTATTTGGCTATTTTGGCTGGAATTACTTTGGATTTGGTTGTGTCTTCTGATGAAATGTAGCTTGATGTCTTAGCTTTCATATGCTTTGGAATTTCGGCATTTGGACTTGTATAGACTGAGTTGTGTTCATTACAGTTGTGTGTTTTGCAATCCTGTTTTGCGATTCTGGTATAGTGTCTTGCATTTTTGACCTTGTTACATTCAAAATTGGACAAAGTTTCCTTCTTCAACATTGTAGCCCCTTAAGTCCTGGATATCCCTGTAAATTTTCAGGTTAAACGGATTAGTATATCCTGAGCTATAAACGAAATACTCAGACCTGTTTTGACCGTCAAATTCTGTTACGTTTTTGGACAGTTTATGACTGGAACTTTGGCTTCACATTTGACTGGGTTACAAGCTGTTTGGGCTTGCGACCAAAACACCAAACTTATAGCCTATATCAGAGCTTTCTAACGCCCTTGGAATTTCATGAATCGGATTTATAAAACCTGAGATATAGCCGAGCAAATAAGGCCTGGCCGTGAAGATGACCATTTTCTGGTCAGATCTGTTTTGGTCCTGATGACCAATTTCCGTTCCGAATTTGGATTGCCGACCTTCATGAAAGTTGTTCCATTTGGAATGAACTATCTAACTGCCAATTTTCAGCTCTTTTGACCATGTGTAGCATAGAAAACAGTTCGCACTCAAAACTGACCATTTGTGCATTGGCCAGATTTCGTAAGTGTTTGTGTTGCTCATTTGGGACTGAAGCCTCCAGTTTCATTCTGAATGTCTTCATAACATTTGTTGTTCATCCTTTGAGCTTCGATATGGCATCTCATACGCCTTAATCCGATATTCGTAGCTCAACTTATGAGTAAACTAGAAATGAGTGTCAAATCTGCCGTTTCCGCTAACGGCCTTTCCGTTTCCGTCCGTCATATTTACGTGCGCGCGTGTCGTTTTTGCCGTTTTGCTTGTTTTAGGCACGATAGTAGCCGTTTGCGAATTATGTGACAAACAATTTTCTATTCAGACGGTGGTGAGTGGCGGAACTGGTGGGCCACTACTAGCTGTTCATTTCGATCCGACTTCGTACTTTTGCTATTTCAGTTTCTGAGTAAGTATTCAGGCCAGTTTGATGTTTTTCTTTGCTAAGTGTTTGAGATATGTGAAAAGGGTACTTAGGCGAGGGTGTACTTATCGCACTCGACCTAAAACCTAATTTGAATGTATAATTGTACTTGGCATATGTATATGAACCTTTTGGAACCAAAACCCTTGAGCTTGTGGCTCGGGGCGACTTTCGAGTAAAGTTTGTGAATTTGCAAAGTTTGTGAGTTCGTGGGCCCGATCTAAGACCTGTTTGGACTATTCGAGCCGGTTAGGGCTTGGTCGAAATCAGTCCAACTTAGTCTGAGGTCACCAAGTTTGTAGGTTCATGTTATGAACCAATTTTGTGAATCCGGTTCACCGAGAAGGTGACCAAGTTTGTGACCCGAGCTTGTGACTCAAGCTCAAGTTTGTGATTTCGTTCGCCCGGGCAAGTTTGTGATGACTGGCCAGTGAGGGTGATAAGGTGTCGGTGGGTGTACAAGTGAAGTTCTACGGACCATTGAGTGTGGTCGACGAGTGTCGGCAGGAGATCACGCATGGCATATGAATTGGCTTTGGAGCCACCTGTATCCTTATTATATGATGTTGTTCTTTTCTGCTTTTGCTTTACTCTTATTGTGAAATTGTTGCTACGTGAATTTATGCTTTCGCCCCTGTTTACTTACTAAGCATTTAGCTTACCCCATTCCTTTTGTTTCCTTAGCAGGGCCGACGCGGGGATTTTGGCACTTACACTAGTGTAGTTAAGTTTGTTTGTAATAGTTGGACAGTTAGGATGTTTGTTTTTGTTTTGGTGGTTTGTATAAGGACCTTCTTAGGGTCTATCTTCTGCTGGTTGTGGTTGTAGTAT